CAGTCAGGAATATGAACCATCACATATATATCACACATATCAGATCCCATACAGGCCCTCTAGCACAAGGTAATGATGAAATTCATCAGCTATTAGTAGGAAATGTGCTGGAAGCCTCAGAATTTCAGAAGAAACACCATGTTAATAACAAGGGTTTGAAAAAGAAATTTATCATTTGGCAACAAGCCAAGGAAATTATAAGGAAATGTCCTACTTGTTCTCTGTATAACCAAACTCCACTACCTGCAAGGATTAACCCAAAGTGTACTCAAAGAAATGAAATTTGGCAAATGGATGTTTTCATTTTGCAGAGTTTGGAAAATTAAAATATGTATACCATACCATAAATACATATTCAGGATTTCAATGGGTAACTAACTCCTTTGGGTTCTGAAAAAGCTGATTCTGTAATTACATATCTATTAGAAGTTATGGCCATCACGGAAATACCTGTACAGATGAAGACTGACAGTGCTTCTGTACATGTCTCTAGTAAAATCAAGCAGTTTTTTGCATATTACAACATAAATCATATTACAGGTATACCACACAATCCTACAAGACAAGCAGTTATAGAAAGAACTAATTGCACATTAAAAGAAATGCTTAATAAACAGAAAGGGTTGATAATGACCCATAGAGACAGATCGCACAATGTTTTATTAACTTTCAAATTTTAAATGCTATTGAAAAAGGAACAACAGGGGCTGGAGAGATGGCTCAGAGGTTAATAGCACTGGCAGCTCTTCCCGAGGTCCTGAGTTCAATTCCCAGCAACCACATGGTGGCTCACAACCATCTGTAATTTGATCTGGTGCCCTCTTTTGGTGTGTAGGCAGAATACTGTATACATAATAAATAAATAAATCTTTAAAAAAAAGAAAAAAAGAAAAAGGAACAACAGGTGCGGAGAGACATTGGTAGTAGAAAACAAAACAAAACATTTGAACTAAATCAGCCCATATACTTTAAAGATGTGCTGACTTCAGAATGGAAACCAGGATATGTGTCATGTTGGGGAAGGGGTTTTGCTTCTGTTTTCCCAGGAGAAGAAAAGCTACGGATACCATCAAAATGGATAAAGATTAGATTCGAACAGGAGAGACCTCTTGGTGAGGAGAGGTGAAGAGGTGACAGTTCATCAGCTGATGTGGCGATTCAACATGTCCAAAGGGAAAACTCACCAAATTAGGGTCAGGGCAGGATTCTGTTTTTGTTTTTCCAGGAAAATAAAAACATCCAACTGAGGAATATAAAGACCTTTGGACAAATAAAGCACCTAAACAAGAAGGGAGAACCATCTGGAAAAAAAATTACCAGGAAAGGGAGTAATCTGGCCTAATGGTATAATAGACTTTGAACAGTGTAAAATGTCATAAACCTTTTGAAATGTCTGTTTTTTTCTGGTCTCTACAGTTATGTTAATTAGGTGATCTTTATGTAGTCCTGACTCAGTTAAAAACTAAAGCTGGCTTTGGAGTTGGAGTGTGGCTCTCTCCTTCTCTAAACCCAAGAATGTTTGTTAAAAGAAAATTCAAAATCTCTGTCTCATATCAGAAGAGCCACCTGGTATGGGACAGAAGAAACTTAAAATCTAGGGACTATTACTGTCACTAATCTCATTCCCCTTGAATTTACCTTGACTCTTTGAAAAAAAAAGTTAGGTATAAGTACTATTTCAAAGTGTAAACTTTGTTTTGATATTGATGATAATATAAGTACTAACCAATTCTAACCTTTGGCTCCATGTAGCTTCCTGTACGTGATTTCAGGATTGAGTCTAAACAGGTATTTAGGAATTTAGCCTGGATATCCTTGATGTATTTAGTAGATCATGATCCCTTAACCTACCTGAGATTTACAGCATAGGATATTTAATATGTTTAAGTTTTCTACAGTGAATGATAAACTTTCCTAACAGCAATCTCTGAAGTCTCCAGAAATATGACGGGGCCCCACAACAACGATTCCACCTGGATTGTGGTAATGCCATTAAGCCGATAACCACCACCCAAAGATTGGCTTTGGACTGCAAACTGCTCAGGACAGTTTCAAGGTGGCTAGCTAAGATCAAACAATGCAGCTAGTTCTCAGGAGACTTGACCATTGTTTCAGTTTTTTCAGGGTCCTCTAGAGATGCCATTGCCCCCAGACAGCAGGAAGTAATTTAAGACCATGACATCCACTTTCCCGAGAGGTGGGATGGATGGTTTTTGGTTTTTCTCAGGGTTATGGATATTTGTCATCTTATGAAGGAGTTGGTTACAAGTTGTTATAGGGTATGGAGCTGAACAAAAGATTAGATTCAGGGAGCTTGTTCAGAAAAGAAAAATGGGGGATAGATATGATAGGATAAAAATGTAGATTACTAAATTTACTTTCAAACTAAAAGAGCAACTATTAGTTTTAAATAATGTACATTGGTAATGATTCTTGTATACTGATGCAAATTTAAGGTTATTTTTGTTATGTTGTATATACATTTCTACTTCTGTTTAAGCTATTTTTGTATAGTGACACAAATTTAAGATTATTTTTGTCATACTGTATATATGTTTCTACTATTGTTTAAGATATTTTTGTAAAAACAAAACAAAACAAAACAAAAAATATTTTTGTATATTGTTACATTTTTTTTTGTTTTTTGGGACAGAGCTTTTCTGTGTAGTTTTGGTGCCTATTCTGGATCTCACTCTGTAGACGAGGCTGGCCTCGAACTCACAGAGATCTTCCTGGCCCTGCCTCCCGAGTGTTGGGATTAAAGGTATGTGCCACCACTGCACGACATATTGTTACAATTTTGAGGTTATTGTCCTCATACTGTACATCTGCTTCTACTTTTGCTTAAGGTATGTATTACCTATACAGCTTGTTTATTTATGCAATGTTAAGTTTTAGTCCTTAAAAGCTATATAGGATAATAAAGAAATACAGGTTAATAGTCACCCATATCTATCAAACTTATAGTCATGTTAGTTAGGCTTTCTAAGTATACAAAGATATGTTTCAAAATAGATAGGTAAACTTCACAGTCCTACAGAATATGACATTTAAAATGTTTTAATAACTTGGACTTTTCTTGACATGAGATGCATCTGCTCCTGGTAGCACCAATCTATTTCTAAAGAGGATGATGGGCATCGAAGACACTCCATATGGAGTTTGCTTTCTTTGTGGCACAAGCTGGCCTTTAGGGCAAGAAACTGCCCTTGCCTCGACTGCTGACAGTACACTGTTCAAACTGGACAATCAGGACACAAAGAAAGGTGACTGCCAAACTTTTCCAAGACAGGGTAAGACAATCCTTCAAAATTTCCTGCTTCTGAAAAAGGTCTGTCAGATATTCTAGGCCTATAGGCCAAAGATGGATGCCCCAACGTTGCAGAGGAACCTTGGGTGACTGTCCAGGCAGCCAGCTGTTTCTGTCATTTCTTAACATTTTTTGGAAGTTGCTTGCTTGCACTTCCTGCTTACTCAGGTAATATTATTTTCTTTTTCAGGTCTTTGATGGGGTTGAAGACTAGACAGTTACAGTTAACAGTTTTCCCCAATCTTGGCAAAAGATATATTAGGTACAAAACTTGGGACTCTTCACGAGAAGACAGCCATTGGAATAATCTCTATAAATTTGCTGATTACTTATGGACTGAACATACAGAATGTCCAGTAAGGGGGAAATAGATAAAAATGGAAGTCAAAAGATTACGTTTATTATCAGTAAAATTCATGCACAAATATCACAGTACAGGACAGGGAATCTGAGTCACCAGCTGTTGCTGCCCTGCTCTGTTCCTCATTCCAAAAGCCCACTCATCCCTCGGCCTTTCAGTCACATCCATTCCCCGTGAAAACCACACCTCTTAGACCAAAATGCTCCTTTCAGTTGGCTAGCAGACCAGTGAGGGAATTCCTGTAACACAGCGTGCACATGGAGGCCCAAAGGTGATGTCAGTAATCATCCTGGACTTTCTTCTGTACTCCCAGAACCTTTCCCCATGGTAGACAAGCTATGCCTCCAGAACCCAGATCCTGGTTGTTTTTAAAGACTGATTTATCTTTATGTATTTGAAGTTTTCCCTACATGTGTTTGTATGCCACATGCGTGCCTGGGGGCCAGAAGAGGGTTTCAGGTTTCCTAGAAGTTACAGGGGGTGGTGAGAACTAAATCTGCATCCCCTATAAGACCAACAAACAAGTGCTCTAACAACGGAACTCTCTCCAGGCCTATTTATCAAATTTGTATGTATTTATGCATTCATTTTGTGTTTGTGTGCTCATGGTGTTTGTGAAGACCAGAGAACAGTTTACAGGACTCGGTCCTTTCCCACCATGTGGCTCCCGGGGAGCAGGCTTGGGATGTCAGGCTTAGTGACAAGGGCTTTTACCTCCTGAGCCACCTTGCTGGCTCCCAATCTGCCATTTCTCTTTTTGTATTTTTTTTTTAAAGATTGTTTGTTTGTTTGTTTGTGTATGAGTGTTTGCTGCATGTGTGTAACACATGTTCTGGTGTCCAAGGAGGCCAGTAAAGAGTGTCAGATCCTCTGGAGCTGGAATTAGAGGTGGTTGTGAGTTGCCTGATACGGATGCTGGCAACTAGACCAGGTCCTCTCCAAGAACAGAAGCCTGCCTCTGGGCACTGCCCTCCACACACTTCCCCGACACCTCCAGGCGCGTGTGCTCTTCCCTGGTGAGCACAGACCCCCACTCTCCCATCTCTATAGAGATTGCACCCTGGAGTTTCTGCACACCAACAATCCAGAGGCTGTGCCATGCTTCCTGAGAACACCCCCAGGTGCTGAGGCCGTCAGCACCAAGCACAGCACCTGTTTAGCCAGTCTGCCACACGAGAGGTGGAGGAGTGTTTCCTTTAGCATGCCTGGGAAGGGCAGCTGGCTCTTCGGTGCCTGTGTGAAACCAACTGAGAATCCTCCATGAAAGAGTCAGAGGGCCCTTCTAGCAGCAAGGAAATCCAAAGAACAAAACCCACGGTGAGCAGGCCGTAGTAGAAACTGGATTTTAATATAATATTCAAGTCTAGCATTTTCTATTTACAACAAATAAATATTGCCCCACCCCAATCAGTAAACTTTTTTACTTTTTATACAAATATTCAGTCGTCTTCCCCTCCCCGCAAATCTCCTTACCCCCAGCCTCCCATTTCACGTAGTCTTGTACAACCCAGGATGTGGTGGTGTTGAATGGCACTTTCAGTGGTATGGGATTCGATACCAACCAGGTGGTCCGTGAGAGGGCTTCTCTCTCTGATCCAAGGCTGGGGCTCGTGGTGGGCGAGACTCCCTCACTTCGTAGGCCCTGAAGGTGGAATCTTTGGTGCAGCCTGAGAAAGGCTAGAGTGTGGGAGGAAAGGCCGGGACTTCTTGAAGGTCCCAGGCCAGTGCCTGTGGGCACAAGGAGAGAATGCAGTGGTCAGCCCTGCTGGATGTGTGGGTGCCCTGGAGCATCTGGGGGCACGGGTGGCAGTGATCTGCATCTGGGGAGGTGTCAGGAAAGTGTGGAGGGTAGTGTCCAGGGCAGGCAAGGTACCATGCCCAGTTGGCAGTACTCCTTGGCAAAAGTCAGCTAGTCCTCTGGTTCCAGAGAGCAGAAGGCACCTAAGGCGGCAAGTGGTCCCCGGAGGCCAGGTCAGCCTGTCGGCGGCAGGTGTCAATCCCGGCAGCAGGAGAGTTTAGGGTGAAATTGGAGTCTGGGGGTAGCCTGGGCTGGCAGGTGGGCAGAGGTACCTGTGTGGCCTGGGCCACTCTAGTCTCTAAGCGCTTAGTCCCCAGCCAGCCAGAGCCCGGGAGACGTCCTTAGAAGATGCCTTTGGCAATCTTGAGTCCTTTCTGCTTCATACGAGGGAGAGTGGAGCTGGCTCCATGCTTGACCTTAACCCCCTTGGTGAAGGTCCGCTTCTTTAGGATAAAGTCGTAGTTGGCGGTAGAGTTCATGGCATAGAACACGTTGGCGTTTTCTGGAATCTTCAGCTCTGGAGGGAGAGGGGCAGGGTGACAATCAGTAGTGCTCATGGGGTTGGGATACCCCCACCACTTGAGAGCCTCCTCCAGGCCAGGCCACACTGAGGTCCTAAGAGCCTCCAATCCAGCTCCAACAACAAGGACCTCTCCTGTGGCTCCCATGGGGGCAGAGGATGCTGGGAGTAGAACTCACCGACTGTAGCCAAGAGTCTCCCCATCCCACCCACATGGCTGTCTCTGCTGGTTGGGACTTCCACCCAGAGCAGACTTCCTGGAAGTCAGACTGCCTTCCTTGATGCTCCCTGCTACTCACAGAGGCTCCGAGGACCAGCAGAGGGCAGCACCTTGCTCTGGGTCCAATTCCCACCACTCTCCTCTGGCCTCTATCTGTCCACCATTCCCATGCTGGCCTTGCTGCTCCTACTGCCCTTGTGCCTGACTCTAGTTCCTGAGCCTCTGTAGGCCTGCTTTCTGAAAGGGGGGGGAGGGGCCCACTCTGTGCATATCACCAAAATGGTAGAAGTTAAGAGAAGGTTTGCAATACACATCTAGATGTCACGGGAATCACTGCTGGCTGGGGCACAGGGTGGCATGTGGGTGTTCGGCTCACATCAGCAGTGTGAAGACAGAATGCATAGGTGACCCCTCTGGTGATTCTCTTTCTAGCATTCCTTGGAACTAGGATTACAGGTGGTTGTGAGTCATCATGTGGGTGCTAGTAACTGAACCCAGGTCCTCTGAAAGAGCAGCAAGTGCTCCTAACCACTGAGCCATCTTTCCAGCACACAGTACACACTCTAAATCACTGAGCCGACTCTCCAGCCCAGGCTTGTTCTTGATTCCATCCTTCTCCTGGTTTGTAGAACATGGACTCAGCATATGTGCTTATTGTGTTCATGTATAGATGTTAACATGTGAAAATTCTTCCTGAAGCACCTGCTTTCTTATTTTAGCCAGACAATGTCCCTCCAGCAGCCCCCAATGAGCCTCTCTCAACTCTTGCATCTTGGATGGGGAGGCCCAGCAGGTGCTGGGGCAATGAGGAGACCCTGGGTGTCCGTCCACGGCTGCCCCAAGACAGGTTGCTGTGGGTGCCACGTCCACATTTACCCGCTATGGTGCTTTCTAGGGCCTCGGGCCTTGGGCCTGGGGCAGAGGACGGTGTTGACCTGCCCCTCTGCCCTTGGCCTGGAGTCCGGCTGTCTGACTTACTGTGATCTTCTGAGATGATCTGTACCAGCTCGTAGTCCTCTGGCTCGTCCTCATCCAGGTTGTGTTTGTCCATGGCTTTTCGGATGACGGTCGGGGCCTTATCCTGGCTGGTCACCTGAAATCAGGGACAGGCTATCAGGACAAGGGTCATAAATGCTTCCACAGGGCATAGTGGCCAGAGACTCATCAGGGCACCTCTCACATTCTGCTTCCTTAAAGTGGCCTCCATAGTATGAGGATGGCTGTTTCTTTTTTTTAAAGATTTATTTATTTATTTATTATGTATATAGTGTTCTGCCTGCACATTTGTCTATAGGCCAGAAGGGGGCGCCAGATCTCATTACAGATGGTTGTGAGCCACCATGTGGTTGCTGGGAATTGAACTAAGGACCTCTGGAAGAACAGCCAGTGCTCTTAACCACTGAGCCATCTCTCCAGCCCGAGGATGGCTGTTTCTCAACTGTTCCCAGCCCCAATTGCCTACAACAGCCTGCCACCAACTCCCACACTGCCTTGGGGAGCCATGCACCCCTGAAGGCAAAATCACAAGCCTTGGGAGCCAATAATTTCCACCCCAACCCCAAGGAAGAACCAGCCAAGGCCCACTGGCCGTCTACATCTTTCCCTGCCCCGAGGCTGTGACGGTAGGCAGCACAGGCTAGCTCAGGGGACTCAGTCATGGGGTCACCCAGGGGAATGTGAGTAAGAGCCACTGCAGCTCCTGGCAGAGGGGCTGAGGCTGGGGTGGTGTCTGGGGTCATCTGCAGCTGGAGCCCTGACAGGTGAGAAAGTCCTTCCTGTGTGCCCACCCACAATCCGTGAGCAATCCCATCGGCTCCACGTTCAAATAACATCTATATTTTAACACTGCTGACTCTCCCCATAGCCACCAGCTGCTTCAGCCTCCCTCTCCCCGAGCGTGGACGGCAACAGCAGCCTCCTAAGCAGCCTGCCTCCATGTTGGTCCACAGCCCATCCCTACGGACGCACCACGTCATCACTGCTCTCTGTTTCAGCCTCCAGAGAAAGTCAAGGGCCTTACAGCCCTGACCGCCACCTCCCCCTCAACCCCTGTCGCACTGCCTCAGACCTGACTACCCACAGGCCCGTTCCCTGGGGGCGTGGGCATACTGCTCCTCTCCTGCCTCTCGGACCTCCTGACTAAGGTCCCCAGTCATTTCTATGTTGTCAGACCTAGAAAGTCAGTGCTCAGAGGTCAAAGACAGCAGCAGCACACAGGTGTCTGTGCATGTCCGCCGCCTGGCCCGGTGGACCCCATGGGGTGGCCCTGCCGCCGGCTCACCAGGATGCTCTTGTACATGTTCCCGTTGTCCACATCCAGGCTGACCCGAATGATGCAGCAGTCGCCCACCTGCTGGTTATAGAGCGGCAGTGAGGAGCTGTAGCTGCAGACCCCCGAGACGGAGCGCTTGTGGGTACGTGTGGTAGACACGGGTGTGGTAGAGGCTGATGAAGAGGAGGTGCTGCTGGAGGCTGAGCTGATGCCAGAGGTCTCTGGGGATGACTGGGAGGCTGACTCCCAGAACTGTGGATGACAGCAATGTCAACAGCGGCCTGAATCATGAAGGCCCTGAAGGCTGGAGGTCAGCTCTGGGGACTTCTGGGCCCCGTGCTGGACGTGTGAGACGCGACAATAAGGAGGGGGTGGGGGCATGGGTGGTCACCTTCTTTTCCTGGCCATCAGGGGACTCTGGGACAAAGCTCATGTTGATTTCTTCCACGTCAGAGCTGGAAGAACCAGCTGAGTGCACACTGAGGGCGTCAGTGATGTCCCCGCTGCCGAGGTAGGGGCCGCACCGGAGCTGGTCACAGGACTTGGAGTGGGCACTGCTACTGGTACTGAGCTCCGTGCTGGGAGCCTGGCGGCTGGATGAAAAGGTTGGCTTACTTCAGGGCTCTTCCCAGGGACACGGCCCTTGAATGTGCAGAGTCTTGGTCTACCAGTGCTCTGTTTCCCCTGGCTATCTGTGGGATCACCCCATTTCAGAGAGGTGGAGACTGAGTCCCACGGAGCTGATCCGACTCACTCTGTGACTGACAGGCTGGTCGGCGTCAACGGAAGGACTCCAGCGCCAGCTTAGCTGGCTCTCCCAGCCCACAGCCCTGAGGCTTCTCTGGTCCCCGTGCGCCCCGCCCGGGGCCCAGGCACTTACTCGCTCCAGCGCTTGACAATGGCTGTGCTTTTCTTGCTCCTGAGGGTGTTGCTGGCTGACTCGGACGGGGGCTCCAGCTCACACGAAAGGTTGTAGCTAAGGCAGAGGTGGATGTGAGGCTACCAGAAGCTAAACTGGAGCTCCCAACCAGGGCTAGCCCAGAAGTTGGAGCCTGGGTACACAGCCATCACCAGACAACAGTGTGACGTGATAACCCAGAGCCTACAGCCTCACCTCTCAGCCTCACTGAGCCGTTCCATGGCTCGGAACCAGGCTCCAAAGTGCTCCTCGGGAGCAATGCTGTAATTGTTGCAGGCGGACTGCAGCAGCTTGATCTGGGCGATCACTTCGAACTCCTGGGTCAAGGGAAGACAGGGTGGGGATGGACCCATTAGGGTGGGGCAGGGGCTAGCCGCTGGGTCTTTATCTTCTCCCCCACGTATACCCCTCAGGCTCATTTCTGTTTTCACAGTCCAAACAGTCACTCCTAGGGAAGCTATCTTGGATGCCATCTCCCAGCCCCCTTTCTGTGGGACAGCCCTTGAAGGGCATGCCAGACGTCACCACAAATCAACACAAGGGTGGAACACACGTTTTGCCCAGTCCATGTCCCCTCCCCACTCCTTGAGAATGGCAGCTCCTCACCTTCCTTCTCTTTTCGAAGTTGATGAGTCTTCCCTAGAAGAGACAGCCAACGTCCGTAAGAAAGCAGCCCTTCCACCACTGAAGTCCTGCCCACTTTGTTCTGCACTACTACAGGCAGCCACCAGGGGGCAGGGAGCACCCGCACCTGACCCTAGGCACCATGGCAGGGAAATCTGAGGGCAGGTTTGCAGACACTCCTGTTCAACCCATGCTGAGGTAGAAGGCCCTGCTCGGCCCACACGCTGTCTGACCTTGGAGTGTGGAGCTTTACCCTCTTGCCCACAGCCACCGTCTGAGGGTCATGTGTGTCTAGTCTGGCCCAACCCACTCCTTAGCTCTGTTGTCACACAGCTCTGGAGGGGTCACCAGGGAGGCAACCTTCAAGTTCTCCTGAGAACCAGAGCTCAGGGGTCAGTAGGGGTCCTGTTCTCCTAGGCCTCAGGACACCACCCTCAGCCCCAGCCTCAGCCCCAGGTTCACTCACATACAGATAGTCCTTCATGGCAGTGTCCAGCATCACCAGGTCAGTGAGGAATGTGCCCAGGTAGGGGACAGTGCCCTGGATGACACCCTGGAGCATCAGGTGGGAAATAAGCAAGGCTTGGTGCTCTTCCCCTACTCACCTGACCGCAGCGGCCCCACCAGGCCCTTCCATTTGGAGCATCGCAAGAACCTGTGCCCCCTCTCTCCCAGGTCCCCCCACCTCCCACCCCCACTCCCATCCCAGGCTGGCAATGGGCAGATCATCAATACGTGGCCCCTGCTCATACCCTCCCCCAAAGAGCTGCCGGGCCCTGACTCTGATGGTACAGCTTGTTCTTGTCCCCCAAGATGTAGCGGGTCATCTTGCGTGGAAGGTAAGGGCCAAGGGAACCCTGAATCTCCCAACCTCCAGGTCACTCACCGTCTCCTTCTGCCGCCTCTGGGCTCTCCTAGGGTTCATTTCCAGTGTGGCAAACTTGGAGGTGCCCTCCTGCCAGGGGTGAAGGCAGAGTGAACGAGATTTTCTCTCTCCTAATCCCAACCTGTGCTCTGACCCTGGGCCTGCAGTCCCTGCACGGGCTGCCAGCATGCCTGCTGCCACATTTGACGCTTCTACATCAGTCTCCTGTTCTAACACTCACTGGAGGAGGAGGGAGGGCTCGGACTTGGCCTTCCTGCACCCAAGTCCTCACCTTCAAAGTTCAGAGGACCCTGTACCTGCCTCCTAGGGACAGGAGGGCCCAATGCTCAGCCCCCAGTGTCACCCTGACTCGCTTCCTGCAGCTAAATACCGGTGACCTCTTGCACACGCCTCCTGTAACCTCAGTACCCTCCATTTGCCAGACAAGAAAACAGGCCTAGAGACTGGCAGTAACTTGTGCAGAAGCCCACAGGGACTCAGAAAGTGCAGCCTACTGACTGGGGTCCTGTCCTCTGGGCCCATGGAGTGTTGCAGGATCTCTAACTGAGCTCAGTCATAATGGGAGAGGGACAAGGTTTCTCAAGCTCCTTGTTCCAAGACCAAAGCTTCCACAGGGCCCTCAGCAGAAGACACAGAGCTCAAGGGCTGTCTCAGCCTGACCAATATGACAGGCGCAGGGCCCACTGATAATGCTGCTTTTTTTTGATGGGAGTATAGAAGCTTCTGGGATGAGACAGAAAGGTGTGTCTATCAGTCCCTGGTATGTCTAAGCTGCCTGGGCATCCTGTGGCTTCAAGGGACAAGGCAGCCTGCCACCGTTCCTCATGCTGGTCAGCAGCTTCTGCTTCAGGGCAGAGGAGAAAGTCACCTATGGAGGCATATCTGCACCCTGGGACTAGATGTTTGAAATGGAGGGTGGACCCCATCCCTGGGACAGGCCTGGCATCATAGAGTCAGAATGGGCTGGCTCAGGACAGGCATGGTATCACAGAGACAGAGTGGGCTGGCTCAGGACAGGCCTGGTATCACAGAGACAGAGTGGGCTGGCTCAGGAAAGGAGGCAGTAGCACCCGGTCCACCGCCTGCCCATCAGTCAGTCTGCCAGTGGCTAAATCCCAGCAGGAAGCTGGACCTGCTAATCCGGCTGGCTCATCCTCCTGCAGCAGCCTGGCTGGCTGGCCCCACTACATCAGATTACCAGGGGCCTCTTGCTCCTCCAAATGCCTGCCACCTGCCCGAGGGCCAAAGACATCCCTCCCCGCTTTGTCCAGCTTTGTCAGGACTGGAAGTTTGCCATACCCTGTCCCCCCTGCCCCCCATCACTGTGGCGTCCGCACCTTGATGAGTAGCTCTCTGCTCAGTGAGTAGTTGTTCTCATCAGAGAAAATCTCCGACAGTTTCTGGAACACTCGCAAACTATCCCTGGAGGAGGCGCAGAGAGAAGGCAGTGGTTGGGAAGAGTGCACTGGGGTGGGCATGATGGAGAACCCACTTTCTTCTAGAACAAAGATCCTAAGCAGCTGGAGAAGGCCGTTCTAAACATGGTTCCGCTGGGGACTATGGATGGGAGCAGCCGGCCAGTTCTGTGGCTGTGCACACGCATCCAACTCTCACCTGGCTCTAATCAGGTGTGCACACGGCACTGTGCCCACCAGTGGACCCGCCCCTTGAACTGTGCTGCTGGGGCTCACTGGAAGTAGACCATCCTGGGGTAGAGTAGGGGCAGGGGACAGGGAGGCCTACCTGGAGACCTCTTCCCATGTCTTCTTTAGGCGGTGGATGGCATTGCTCTGTAGAGCAGAGAGGATGGCGTAGAGGGAGGAGAAATTCTTGAGCACTCTGCACTCCTGGGGACAAGGAGTCTGTGAGTGGAGCCCCAGGCTGAGCCCCTCCTTAAGAATGCCAGGCAGCTCCCAGAGGGCATGCCAGGGACACACGCTCGCTCACACAGCAGCTCAGAAGTACAGTGCCAGGAAGGAGTATGCACCTGGCCGCGGACTGTGTGGCCCTGAGGTTTGTGAGGAAAAGGAAGAGGTCCCCCGGCCCCTCCTGCAGCCTACCCTGGCCACCTCGATCCAGTGTTCCACCACCCGGGCCCTGTCCGGGGCCTTCATGCTCTGGTCCCCAAGGCAGGTAGTAATGACACAGTTGGCCACGTTGTTGAACTGGGCGACGGTGGCACGGATGGTAGGCGCGAGGTGCTCCTTGCCCTTCTTGTCCCGCTGGGACCAGATGGAGCCCAGGCAGTGGTAGGGCACCACTTTCTTGAATAGTTCCTAGGGAGGAGAAGAAGTGTCACTGGGCCCTGCACGGCCCACAGGCCCAAGCTGGAGCTCAGAGAGTGAGGATGTGGCTGAGCCCTGTGGGACTCTTACCTCTCCACCTGACCCCTGAGAGCGCAGTGCATGGGTAAGCCAGGGCAAATGATGGTGATGGGAAGGTACACATATCAGTGGCTCCCGCCTGCTCATCTCAGAAAGCATCTGCTGCCCCCTTCCCGGCTACGCAGTCCTGTCCTGTGTCTGGCAGTCTCCAGTACACAGTAAGCACTTCGTAAGTGCTGAGGCTAGATAGGCCTCCAGGGCAGAATGGAGGGGGGTGACCCAGGGGCCTAAGGGTACCTTGGTGAGCACAACTCCATCCCTAAGAGGTAAGGTCCACTACACTTTCTATCTGCTCCAAATCCTCAATTCTGTATTATGTGTGTGTGTGTGTGTGTATGTGTGTCCGCGTGCGCACACACGTGCACAGGCAAGCACACGTGTGCATTACGTGGCTACCATCCAGGGGGACTCAATGCCTTGGGGTTAAGCAGTGTGCCCTAGTGTGGTGGTATTGTGTTCCCCAAAATATTGTGTACCTTAATAAACTTATCTGGGGTCAGAGACAGAACAGCCACTAGATACAGAAGCTAGAAAATGGTGGCACTCACACCTTTAATCCTAGCATTCCAGAGACAGAAATCCCTCTGGATCTCTGTGAGTTCAAGGCTGCATTGGAAACAGCCAGGCATGGTGACTCACGCCTTTAATCCCAGAAAGCAGCCTTTAATCCCAGGGAGTGGTGGTAGAAAGCAGAAAGGTTTATAAGGCGTGAGGACCAGAAACTAGAAGCATTTGCCTGGTTAAGCATTTGGCTGGTTAAGCATTTGGCTGGTTAAGCGTTCAGGCTTTCGAGCAGCAGTTCAGCTGAGAGCCATTGGTATGAGGACACAGAAGTTTCCAGTCTGAGGAAACAAGACAAGCTGAGGAACTAGCAAGGTGAGATAGCTGTGGCTTGTTCTGTCTCTCTGATCTACCAGCATTCACCCCAATAACTGGCCTCGGGTTTGATTTTATTAATAAGAACTTTTAAGATTCATGCTACCCCCTAGTCACATGTTTGTTAACAGTGGAGCTGGGACTCACCCTGGGGGACACAGGCTCTGAGCCAGAAAACAGGTCTAGACAGTGGAATACAAAAGAAGTCAGCCTTGGCCCAGCCCCGAGCCACTCACAGCGTCCATCAGTGTAAACTGTTCAGCCACCAGGTCTGGAGGGAAGAGCAGGAGGTGAGGCTTCACACCCAGTCCATTCTCTGTGGCTCCAGGCAGAGGCCAGGAAGGCTCTAGTGCAGGAGTTGGCGCAGGAGCGGGATCAAGCTCTAGAGTCTGCAAGAGAGGCGGCTCCAGCTCCGGAGCCGGGGCTAGGGACGGCTCAGGCTCTAGAGGTGGCGCTGGAGCTGGTTCCGGCTCAGAAGCTGGTGCTGCCACCGGGCTGGATGCCCGTGCTGGTGGTTCTGGGACTGGATCCGGCTCAGAGGCCGGTGCTGGCTCTGGCTCCCGGGCTGATGCCGCCACCGGGCTGGATGTCAGAAGCAGAGCTGGAGCTGGCTCTGGCTGTGAAGCTGGTTTCAGTGACAGCACTGGAGCTGGAGACAGGGCTGCAGGAGGAAAGATGTCCAACATGGCTGCCTTGCCCAGAGCATTTCCAGAGACAGAGAACCACTGCCTGCCAGAGAAGCAAGCCCCTGTCCCCACAACAAGATGTGGGGACCAGACCACGGCGTACTGCCTGCTGGGTCCCAGGCTCATTCTTGCTGCTGGCCCAGTGCCGGCCCTGGAGCCTCTTTGCTGACCCCTCCTACCAGGCTCTGGGTACCCTCCCCAGGCTCCTCACCCTCAGGCTCAGCCTCGCTGGGCTCCAGGTCCTCCAGCTGGGCCAGAAGAAGGTGAGCACGACGCTCGAGGTCTGAACCCGGCATGTTGAGCTGCACGTAAGCCACCAGCTGCTTGAGGCAGGGAAAGTCCGGAGGCTGACAGAAATCCTCCGAGTATTGGTCCAGCCAGGTGCCCAGGATGGAGGAGATGGCACTGGGGACAGGCCACAGAGTCAGAGGCCTGGCCTCTCCTCCCACCCTCCCACAGCACCTCTGTGGTGTGCTTCCACCGCTAAGTCTCCTTTGGCTGTCCTAACCGGCAGGCCAGGTAACCAGAAAGAGGCTAAGGAGAATCCCTGCAGCAGAGTGCAAAGGCTCATCAATGGAATGGCAGTTCCCGGACTCTGTAGGGGAACACCCCCTCCTGTCCAACCCAACTGGAATGCAAATGCAGGAAGGCTTATCCTCCTGCCTGGCATTCAAGGACCCTTAGTCAGTGGCTGGGACTACCTCAGTATCTACTCTTTGAGAGCCAGGTGTGGGTTGTGTTTTCTTTCCTCAGGCACATGGTTTGTAATTTGAACCCCTTGGGGACCAGCTAAATGACATTACCAAGGAGTGAGGCTGAGTGTCTATAGAGATAGGCTGTGCTAGGGAAGGGGTCTCATAGTGGCTGGATCTGAATGACACCCCATATGCGTGTGACACACACACACACACACACACACCCCTATACCTCCTCTCTGCTCCTTGAATGCTTAGTATCACCCTGAACTCTGTCTTCCTCTGGCTGCAGGAGGACCCTTAGCCCTCAGCCCACCAGCAGGAACCAGAAGTGTGGGACCTATGGTTTGCTCAGCCCTTGTTCCCCAAACCTCCCCTGTTGACCCAAAGCCCACTTACTTTTTGAGTTGGTCCTGCGGTCCACCGTCCTCACTGGAGTACGGGAGGATGCAGCCATATCTAGAGGAGGCCGTGAGGGCGTCACATCTACCGTACCTGCTTATGATGTCTAGTGTTACTGGCCGACTCCCTGATGGGAATGGAGCCCAGGGAGGTAGGGACTCTCTGCTCTTGTCACAGAGAAGTGCCTGGTAACACAGCTGCACACAGCAGATGTTTATACACTCAGACACCTCAGCAGACCTGGGCCTCTCAGTCAATTACCATGGGGCCTGCGTATATCTAGGTCAAGGTCCCCCGCCTTTCTAAGTGGGGAACTGTTGAACCCGAGACTCGGGTGAAACGGTTTCTCCATAGAAGAAGGGACAGTCATATAAGACCCCACAGGTCTTGACAGCCCAGACGGGTGGCACTGCCTGGGACTGGGTAATCTGTTCCTGACCACAGCCTCTGAGGAGGCTTACCATCCAACTGGGGCTCACAGAGACACAAGGCATTCCCAAGACCCAGCCAAGGGGAAGGGTGTCCCTGGGTCCGGAGCTGGTGCTCACCTTTTGAAGAGCAGGTCTAGCACCTGCTGAGTGGTGGTGAAGGCTCTGTAGGTGCACAGGAAGATGGTGACGTAGGAAAGGTCACTGCCCTGGAAGGCAGGCACCAGGTGCTCCACCAGCTTCTCCAGAGTGCCGGCCTTCACTGTGCGCACTTTGCAGGTCTCATAGAGGTTCAGGGCCGACTCATTCTCACACTGCGTGAACGAGGGAAAGGCAGTCAGTGGCAGGGCTGTGGTCTCAGGAAGGCTGAAGCTCAGATCATCTCCTACACACACTCAGCACAATGGTGGCCAACGCCGGGAAAAGAGGGTCTCTGGTAAAGGGTCTCTGATTTTCTTCTTCTCTTCTTTTCTCTCTCTCTCTCTCTCTCTCTCTCTCTCTCTCTCTCTCTCTCTCTCTCTCTCTTTTTTAGTTTTTCAAGACCAGGTTTCTCTGTGTAGCTTTGGAGCCTGTCCTGGAACTCACTCTGTAGCCCAGGCTGGCCTCGAACTCACAGAGATCCACCTGCCTCTGCCTCCTGAGTGCTGGGATTAAAGGTGTGTGCCACCACCGCCTGGCTTTTCTTTCTTTCTTTTTTTTTTTTTTTTTCAGACAGGGTTTCTTTGTATATCTTTGGCTCTCTTGCAACTCACTATGTAGACCAGGCTGTCCTCGAACTCACACCTGCTTCTGCCTCCAGAGTACTGGGATTAAAGTCATGAGCCACCACCACCACCCAGCAAGGGCCTCAGATTTTAAAGCAAAATTTGAGGTATGGAACCCTTCAGGGTGGTTTCTGAGGTGAGTGACAAGAGTATCTAACATAGTCGGGGGGGGGGGGGGGGGTGTTCCAAACCAAATAGCCAATCCTAGAGGTGGAAAGACAGGCTTACTCCAGAGTCAGGGAGTTGGCCAATCAGGACCTAGAACATTGCCTGAACAAGCTCAATAACCACAGAGAAGAATCATGTTGGGATCCAACAGCAACAAAGCTCAACAGCTATGGCAAAAGGTTTCTCTTCTGAAATATTAAGTGGCTGGGTCAGGCCCAGCTTCTTAGCTCAAGGAGCCCAGGAGATGTGCTCAGAGTCAGCAAGTTACAGAGAAGTGTATATATACATGCTTGCTAATTTTGTCAGCTTGACACAGTCTAGAATCATCTCAGAGGAGGGAACCCCAATTGAGACAATGTTTCCCTAAGACTGCTGTAGACAAGCCTGTAGAGCATTTTCTTTTTTTTTTTTTTTTTTTTGATTTTTTTCGAGACAGGGTTTCTCTGTGTAGCTTTGCGCCTTTCCTAGAACTCGCTTTGGAGACCAGGCTGGCCTCGAACTCACAGAGATCCGCCTAGCTCTGCCTCCCGAGTGCTGGGATTAAAGGCGTGCGCCACCACCGCCCGGCTGCACTTTCTTAATTAGTGATTAATGTGAGAGGGCCCAGCCCATTGTGGGTGGTGCCATCCCTGGGCTGGTGGTCCTGGGTTCTCTAAGAAAGCACAGTGAGCAAGCCAGTAACCAGCACCCCTCTGTAGCCTCTGCATCAGCTCCTCATGTGAGGTTCCTGCCCTGTTTGAGTTGCTGTCCTGACTTTCTTGAGTAACAGACTATGGATGTAAAGGTGTGAGCCAAACAAACCCTTTCCTCCCCAGCTTGCTTTTGGTCATGGTGTTTCTTCATAGCAATAGTAACCCTAACTAAGACCGTGCACAGGCCTGAACTTCTATTCTCTGGGGATAAAGGGCAGCCCTACTATGTGAGAGGATCTGTAAGACTAGGAGGACTGATATCTGGAGACAGTCTTTAAACCCAGCAAAATATTCGAGTATGCATGGCCTTATGGGAAATGAGAAACAAAGTCAATGGTGTCTCCTCTCACTTGTAGGTAGGCAAGTCAGCAGGGCCTTTGTGCATGGGCTGGACTTTGGGGTGGGGAAGGGAGAAAGAGAGGGAAGGAGTCTGGCAGGGTCACCCTCCAGGTCTCCTCTCTATACTCACCCCCAGCCAGCGCTGGCCCTTGGTGGCTCCCTGGTGTAGCTGAACCTTGCGCAGGGAGATGGAGTAGATGACCCCGTTGATCAGCTCCTCCCCAATCTCCTGCGTAGAGCTCTGGAAAGACAGGGCCCAGCAGCCGGGCCAGGATATCAGGGGTCTGATGCAGGGGGATGGCAGAGACAAATGGCTCCTAGACCTCCAAGGTGAGGTAAATGGAGAACCCAGGACTCCCCTTCCCATCAGGCTCCTTATGACCGAAAGGCCAGCACCTCAGGAACCTGCTCTTGCCTAGTCCTGGACCGCCCCACACCATTCTCCCTCCAAGACAGGTACTGTTATTCAGGGAGATTGAGGCAGGAGTAACTGACCCAAGTCAAACTGTCTTGTGTATATGGCAGAGCCCCCATCTCGAAGTGCCAACACGGTCACAGGTGGCACTGGCCCTCAGGAAAACCTAGTCCTCAGAGCCCAAGGCCCGGGGTCACCCAGGCCCTCATCTCTCTGCCCGTCCAGTCTGGCTTCTGGCTGACCCAGCAGCATCAAGCAGGCAGCATCACGGGTCTAGGGCAGGTGCAGGCGCAGGCCACATCTGTGGCTACTTCCTTCCCCTTCTGCTCATTCAAGCTTCTGAGACCTCTTGGGCAACACGGGATTTCCCAGCTGGCTGTTCTTCCTCATGTGAGTGGGGAACAGCAATAATGCTGAGGTTCCACAAAAGCCCAAATCATGAGGCCTAATTGACAAAGGAGGGGGTCATGTGGCTGCTTCTCAGAGCCCAAAGCAGAAAGTCAATACGCTTCCCCTGACACCCCAGGATCTCTCTGACTCCCGCCATCTAGGGAAGAGCTAACCTAGGATGGAGGGTAAAGAGCTCAGAGGGGGCCAGCAGGTGCGAGCCCAGCCCAGGGCTATTGCCCCCCTACCCTGTAGGAAACATAAGGATCACTGTAGGGCCCAGGGGACTCCGGTCAAAGTGCTTACCTACCCGGAGCCCCACTGCAGACCCTCCTCTGGAGGCCAGTGTGATGTGGGCTGTACCCAAGCTCTCGTGTCTGCTATCTACCCTTAGAGGGCTCTGGAAACAACTTTCGGAAGTCTACTTCCTCCCACTCTGGGCTTTGAACCAAGGGTAAAGCTGTAGCCACCACACTGGGCTCACCACTGTCTGCCTTCTCTGGAGACAAGGCCAGGCCTGTTTCCTGAAAGTCAGTCAATAACAAGAAGGCTCACGCACCCTAAGCAATCCTGGCCCACAGCCTGGGGAACTTCCCTTCAGAGCCAGTGACACTGTCATCAGCTCACCCCTGGCCTGAATCTAGAAAGTCTTTCAGAAGAGATAAAGGAGACCATGGCCCCGGACCACCCTCTGCCTCCTCAGAGGCTCTTGGAAGTCAGGGCTGGAAGAGCCCTCCTTTCCCAAGGAGTCTGACCACATCTGGCGTCAGTGTTGCAAACACCCACATGGTCAGCAGCAGGGAGTCAGGGTCTCACACACCAACCTCCCTCTCCCACCACACAACACTGGATTTCAGCCCGAGGTGCCCAGTACAGTGCCGGATTGCAACAGGTTTTCACTGGTGCTCAATGGACAGAAATGCGCCCTGCCTGGCCAGGCAGACCCACAGGAGGAGCTGGATGCAAGCAGGGCAGCAGCCATTCCTGAGTAGGGCTCAAAAGCAAGCCCTTTCTCAGACTTGGGCTTCGGCTGACAGCCCAGCAGCTGGCCTGGGCCCTGTGGGAATGTCATGTGATCCCTGCACCCTTCCCCCACCTGAGGGGGGGCATTCGGCTAGCTTGTGTGTGTGTGTGGGGGGGGTGCCAACAGGCACCAAGAGCCATACATGTCTTACTCTGGGGAGTCCAGCACTCCATTTCCTTCAAGCAACCACAGCAGAAACGAACCAGACCACCCGACGATGCCGAGTGTGGGCACCTTTGCACCGGATACCCAGAGAGGACAGAGAAGCCCTAGGCCTAGGTAGAAAGCAGCAGAGAAGAGCCCCTCTCCCCAGTCTAAAGATCTGCCCTCGGGTCCCTCTGAGGCTGGAAGGGCAGGGACCACGTAACCTAAGGCCTCCTTGGGCTACCTTTGTAGCACACAGTCCATGTGGGCAGTACCATGCTCCCAGGAAAACTCAAGCAGACCAGGGAGAAGAGGGGGTAAGCTGGCCTAGTGAACAGCTGAAACAGCAGAAGCGTCTGCCTGCCCGCCTGCCTGGGGCAAGCATCCAGGAGCCTCTGAGCTCCAAGGGAAGAATGCCACATGGTTGGCTGTGTCCTTAGGGAGGATCATCCCTCCCTCCAGCATGTATGTGCAAGGCCCCTAGGGCTCTGGGATGAAGTTGGCAGCTGTGGCTCACACATTTGGGTTAGTCACTTGGGAGTGACAGTGTCCCTGGGGGTCCTGTGAGCAACTCCTTCCCCCATCTCTGTCTCTTGAACATAGCCCAGAGCTCCCAGAATGGGGACAGAAAACATGGCCTGGGTGGTATCACCTGGTTAATGTTCTCAGGGGAGCAGGCCAGCAGGCTGTGTGCTCCCAGCTAAAAGAGAGAGCCGCAGGCCAAGCCCACAACAGTAAGTAGCAAGGGGCCCATGGGGACTCCAGACCTGTCATCTCTCCCTGAAGAGCACTGGGGGTCGGGGTGGGGTGGGGTGGGGGGTGGAGTGGAGTGTCCAGTCAAACACTGGCTGCTTCTGCTTCAGGAGGCCTTGGCAGACATGATATATTTCAGAACACAGGATCACAGCTTCTCTCTATATGTGCAGAGGCTCAGCCTACTTGGTGGTGTGGGGTGACTCTAAACCTTCAGGGTGATTTCTAAACCTGCCTGTACTACTGCCCGGGGCCACCGAGTTACGAGGTCACCCCAGGGCTCTAGCAGGCCCCTTGCAGGCCCCCTACAGCTCTGGACACACTGAGCCCACAGGACCAGACACATGTACTATATCTTAGGAAGGGTCTCAAGCCCCAGCTTGGCTCAGTGAGCTAGCCATGGGCTGGGAGAGCAGCAACAGCTGACAGGTGACAGGGGACAGGGTAGGGCTGCAGAGGAGTAAGAGCAGCAGACAATACCTAGTACACCATACGAGCTGGTGACCTATGAGAGCCACACTTGTCAGAGGCCCACCTGGGACTACTGGACCCAGATGGCAGCTCACTCAGAGTCCTGGACCTTGAATGGAGGTTCCAGAAGAGGGAGGGAGCAGTCCGCACACTAGCTGGCAATATCAGGGTGTCCTCTCCACGGTGGGAGAGCACACTTCCCATTTTAGAGGTGGAAACCAGGGCCCAGGGGAGGAGCCAAATAGTGTCCAGGACTCAAGCCCAGGCCCTGGTTCAGCTCTGAGACCATAAGCCTCCCATCCCAGGTGGGATGTCCAGCACGGGTGGACAGCCTAGATGCTAAGCCCTCATAGCATCCCTAGGTAATCCCCAAGCCCACAGTCTACAGAGGCGGCTCAGCTGGGGACTACCCAAGGTGCCTGATTGCCGTGGCAGCAAGGGAGCACCAAGACCTCAGAAAGTCAAGTCTTGGGCTCAGCCTGTGCAGAGCTCTCACAGAGTCAGATTCGGGTCCCCAGGAACCCTCCCTGTCAGCCTGAGTCCAGCTTTTGGCTAAGTTAGCATTTCAGGAAGGAAAACTGAGCTCAACCGGGGGAGGGGAGACCCATTCCTTCAGCCTAGTAAACCCACAGCTTTGTCCACCTGGTCCTGCTGTCCATTTGCAACTGGCTCTTATCACAAAATGGCCACTGTTGGCCAGGCCTGGGAGGGGGCTTGGCCTGCTCCTCCCAAGGCATAAAGGTTCAGACCCACACCACTGACCATGACCATGCCACCCAGGTTACTCGGGCACTTCTTGTACCAGGTCCTTTGTACACTTAGTGCGTGTGACTCTCCCAGTACGCTGCCTGGCGGGTGAGGGAACAGCCAGGTAGGGAGGGACAGGCAGAGGCCTACTCAGGTAGAGTCAGGAAACAGCAGCCAGGACAAGGATTTGATCCCTGGCCTGGAGGGACACACCCAGAGCTGGCTGCTGCTTCTACCAGAGGCACACCACCAGGGCAGGGTCCAGCCTTGGTCACACAGATGCAGGGCAGGGGCTGGAGACAGAAATGGATTCCTCAGGCTACACAGCAAGTGGGAAGAGTGCCAGGCAGTCAGTGGTTTCACACCTGCACCTCTGAGCAAAGGCTTAAGGGCATGTCCTGGGGAAAACGCCTGTGATGCCATGCTGAGGTCAGCTGCAAGTGCCAGGCCACATGTCCCAGGAGCCCAGACAGTCAGGAGGCTTGGGCTTTGTTACCAGGTCAGAAAAACTAGCTATGGGCACGGCCAGGCTCTGTGGACTGCACTGTCAGTCTCCACTTGGTCCACTCCAGAACCCATTTTACAGATGAAGAAAACCCTGGGGCTCAGAGGAGCCACGCTGGCATTCCAGCACAGCTGCCTTCCCCATGGAGCTCAGGCTCTGCACCTCTGGGTTCCAAAGGAAAGAACACCTGCAGGGTGACTGCAGGCCACCAGCTGCAGGCAAAGGCACCCAAGGGAGGGGACAGTGCCAACAGAATACCCATGGCCCAGTAGTTCTGGTCCCTGTGCCCTGCTCTGTGAGCGGCCCTCAGGCCGTCCTTTCTCCAGAGAACTGAATTTGCTTGGGGCCTCAGTTCCTATATTAGAAAGCACCCAATCTCAATCTCTCACTCTCACTGGGCTGGGGAGGCTGGGTCACTTGGGGTGTATGCCTGATAACATAGCACTTGTGAGTGCATCAGAAATCCAATGCCAGGGCAGGTGCCAAACTAAGACCTTCAAAGTGCAGTCTTCTGGAACCCCCTCCACAACCCACAGGCCTGACAACTGTCTGGCTGCCTCATGGAGAGTCAGCCCCTGTTCTTGCCCTGCTAGCAATCAGGTTCCTCCTGCTCCAGAGCCGTCCTGAGGCTCCCAGGAAATGGGCCAGCAGGTCTCTCTCAATGTCCCGGACTGGAGACAAAGGACCAGTACCAGCCTGGCCTGGGCCTCCTCATCCTCTTCTACTGTGCCTCTAAGTAAAGCAACAGAGGGACAAGGGGGTTCTGGGGGCCTAGCAGTGACGGCCAGTCCCTTC